CACACACCACACACACACACACACACACACACACACACACACACACACACACACTACTTGGATCCATTTGTCCATTCAGCAGATCAATGTACAATTTTCAGAATGTCAACTAAGGGCATCGCCCTTGGCAGAGGGCTCCTGCAATGAGGGCACGAGAGAGAATAACTCGTTCTCAAGTCTGCTTATTCGTATCTGGCAGGCAGCTGCAGTCAGGTTTCATTCTCAGTGGACATAGAACTCGAAAACAAGTTCATTTTGCATTGTGTGGATGGGTTGATACTTGAAACATACCAGAAGTGAATTTCCTACTTCCTCCTCAGGTGAATCTGCTGGCCCCTGCCTTGACATCTCACAACACCTCTCTCTCTCCATCACTGCCGCTCTCACGCACACCATTCATACTCCTCAGCCATGCACACAATGTGCAGTGCAGCCACTCCTCCCGCTTGCATGAACGCACGCACCCAATGAGAGGTTTCTCTGCTCCACATCACCAGTCAGAGTATTTTTCCTTGCAATCCTGCAATCCCTTGCTCCACCCTTGCACCCTCCATCCGGTGCCCTTGAAGTGGAGATTCACTCGACATAACTGCCCGTCGGAACGTCTCTACCCTTACACCCAACCCAACCCCTTCTCCGTCCCTCCTGCCCGCTGAAACATTCACATACTCGAGGCTTGCCCCACCTTTGCACACCTCCATCCATGCCATGATGGACCCTCGGCTCCTCGTTAATTGCCCCCACGGTCATCTTCAAACCCTGTCCTCCCTCTGTCCTGCATCTGCCCTTCCTCTGCCCGCATATGTGTGATCCGTTGTCCATGGCTCTCACACACCATGCCCTACTGCTTTTACGGAGGTTGGTTGCCCACTGGCCTGCATCATCTTCAAAGTGCTTGCCAGCCAGTCAAGGCCCTCGTACAGTCCCTCTCCCTTGGATGCACAAGTGCCCTGAATATGCCAGCGTCGGTTTCGAAGGCTGTGTAGTCCCAGATGCTCACAGACCTCTGCTGGTGTCAAACACCCTTTCTGCACACACACACACACACAGCAAAGTAAATGCCGCGAAATGAACCCTGCAAGTAGTCTATAGGGCGCAAAGACACGGATCAAGTGCACTCAGGTACTCTGGCTATATTAACCAGGCCAAGTATTTTTCATTTTCAACGATGACAGTGGACAGAGTGAGGTGTTTTGTAACAGCAGGAAGAAGCAGCTCTTGAGAAAAACAGCATTGTCCAACTGACTGCACAGAGTATCAGACGAGTGCTCATCACATCACCAACAACGGGGCCGGAAGTGCAATGCCTTGGCGTTTGGAAGGGCAATGTGGCCAATGCGGCCACCGAATTTATGTCCACGTCTACATCTATGTGAATATCTATGTCTTCACTTTGCAAAAAGTATAAAGAATTCACAGGCTGCATCTGGTCAGGATATGGAGTCTATGCAGACTGAAAAACTACACCCAGCATAGACTGCAAAGAGATTCTACACACTGACGCCGATAATTTCCCTATTTGGATTGTCTCCTCCCCTCCTCATGGTGCTGCAAGATTTGATTACACGATGAGGACTGCTGAGTAGGGATATGATCTTACAGAGTGATGGGTAGCCAATCCCTCGGTTGAGGGCAATCGACGCTGCTCATTAGGCTAACGCTGCGTGCCCGCGTGTCGGTGCATGTACTTTTCTCGTTTACAGTAGGATGGACACGTGGCATGTTTATATGATTTTTGGCTGTTCATAGGGACGCTTTTTCCAGCAGGTGTTGCTCCCCACCAATAGATGGAGCCTCCCCGAGCATGCTAGAGGCGTCTGCTCTTATCAGCGCCCCTAGCATCCACTCGGGTTGTTCAGGAAAAAAAAAGAAAAAAAAAGAAAAAGAAAAAGAGAATGTATAGTCTGCCGAGTATGCCGCCAATGCAAGCTAAGCAAGTTATGATGAGAGAGGCTATGCATCAATCCTGCAGCAATCCGCAAAAAAAAAAAAGGGGGTGTGGGAGAGTGTACTCACCATATCCTGCTTGTTGGCGAAAACCAGAACCGCGCTGTTCCGCATCAATGGGTCTTCTAAGATGTTCTGTAGGAAAACAGAGGGACAGCAGTCACCAAGAAACAGGGATAGCAGGGATAGCAGGGATAGCAGTCAAATTTTCTCCGATAAAACTTCATAAAAGGATATTACGCAGAGAAAGGATAACATATTAATATCAAACAAAGGAACAAAGCCACCCATCTGAATGGGGCATACAGATAAATACAAACATACGGTGGGTAAGTGGGTGGCCCACAAAGATAGACAGAAAAAGGAAACGATGCTCAGCAGCGCTCAAAAGGTGATAGAAGGGGGTAAGGGGGGAAAGAGAGAGGGGGGGGGGGGAACAGCAAACCCAACTTCAGACCCTGGACCACCAGGACAGACGCAATGAATGAACTTCGGCGGAGGAGGGACCTGCTCTGAGTAGTAGGCCTGCGACTGACTCCAGAGTTAAGACCATGCGTCAGGGCAGACGCAACGCCAGACGCAAGACCTTGTCCAAGCCCGGGACAGGGACCAGCCCTCAGAGAAGACCTACATACACATGGATCTGAAACAAGCCTGGGAGTGAAGCCAAGCCCTGATACCTGGGGAACAGGCTTTGGAATTGACCTCAAACAAGCAGCTGCGAACAGACTTTGTAACGTCAGATGTCAGACACGAGACCGCGGACAGACTTTGGAACTGACCTCAGAACAAGTTTGGGAGTGAAACAAAGAGCTGACACATGGGGATATCATTATGCCCGGCAACAGCACACCAAAATAGTTAAAAACAATGACAAACCGAGAGAGCAGAACTGAGAACACACCTCAGAACAGACCAGAGAACAGACCAGAGAACAGACCAGAGGACAGACCAGAGAACAGACTTTAGAACAGACCGGAAACAGACTTGAGAACAGACTTGAGAATAGACCAGATAACAGACTTGAGAACAGACCAGAGAATTTACCTGACAGCTGATCTAAACATTGACTTGAGAACAGTCCTGAGAACAGACTTGAGAACAGAGTACAACGGACTTGAGAACAGACCCGAGAACTTAACTGAAAGAATTGACTTGAGAGCTGCCCAGAGAGCAGACCAGAGAACAGACCCGAGAGCACGAGAGCTTACCTGACAAATGATCTAAAAATAGACTTGAGAACAGTCCTGCGAAGAGAGCTAATGCATCCGTTAGCGCTTTCTTCAACTATGCAAAGGGTTCGGGTTACTATAGTGGGATTTTAAACTCATGCACTTCATCTTTTGAGTTTTTCATTACGTCAAGGTGTACCTCTCGTCAGGCTCAAATTTTGACTTTACAAGGTATACAAGGGGGGTCTAACATGCAAAGAAATCCGGTTCGCACATCTTGACAACAAGGAAAGGGTGTTACGATTGTGGGATTTCAAACTCATGGACTTCATTTTTTTCAAGTTTTTATTTACCTCCAAGGCGTACCTGTCTTGAGGGTCAATTTTGACTCTGCAAGGTATGCAAGTTTTTATTTACCAATTTAAACAATTTTACCTCCAAAAAAATCCGGTTCGTGCACCTTGACGACAAGAAGAGGGCTGGGTTGACAGGAGCAACAGTTAGACCACCAGTACCACCAAGTTTTTAGGCCGTTAACGCGGTGGCTGAATCAGTGCGCCGCGCGGGTCCATATGCATTTGCGTCAGAGCCTCCCCAGAGGCGGCCTAAGACCCACTGGGGTACTGGTGATTTAAACTGCTTGTCTCGAGGCGACAGTTCAACTGCTAGTCTCGGGGTCACACTCTCACTCACATCTCTTGCCGATGACAGGAAGAGAGAGATATAGGGTTAACACTGTGGGCGAAAGGCTTCATCTGCTTGTGGGCTCCTGCCACTCCTCCTCCTCTTCCTCCTCCTCTTCCTCTTCCTCTTCCTCCTCCTCCTCCTTCTCCTCCTCCTCCTCCTCCTATACAGCCTGCCAGCCTTCCCACTTGTCGCTTTCATTGACATCAACAAGAGTTGTGCAGCCCCGTTTATTTCCCATGAGCAGAGTTTACGTCCAGGCTAAGACATCCTTACCTTAAATTCCATTGCAGCTCGGCCTATCCGTTCTCGATCCAACGAATCAACAACATAAATCTGCAGCAGCACAATAGATACAGACGAAAATTGTCCCGCTTTAATCGGCAATTTGACGTGTGTTTGTTTCATGTCACATCATCACGTGACCTGATCACTAACAAGTGAAAGATCTCCCCAACCTTCGAAGTTTCGAACACCAAGTCCCAAAAACACAACCTGAACATTAGACACTGTCGTCAGCGAAGGCCTCAGATGGCCTCCATCCGAACATAACCCCCTTAACGGCCCCCCCCCACTGCTACAGAAGTGCACCGAGAATGGCAACATGGTTAATTCACACCCACCGAAAGCCAACTCGTTACGAAACACTGAGCATTCTGTTCACGGATAACAAGAATATATTGTCACACTGTGAATCAGAGCGTGAAGGCGAAAAAAAGCAAAACAACGAAAGGAAAAGAAGTAAGGAAGGAAAGCCCCACCTGTTCATCACCTCTTACGTACAAGGGCAGCCACGTGGATGACAGGTTGAGCGCTGGCTTCCCCCATCCCCGCATGTCACAAGGACCCACTTGCACGCAGCCAAAAGGCAAAAAAGAGGTAAGGAAAAGGAGGAGGGGAGGAAACCAGACCTCACAGAGGCAAGAGAAAGAGAAAGGGATCCAATCAAAGAAAAGACAAGGGAAGAAAGCAAATGACACATCCCACAGATAAACCAATTGCTACTGTCACTACCAAGGTTCAACATATTCTTTTATTTTATTCTTTCTTTTTTCTTCTTTTCTTCTTTTCTTTTTTCTTTTCTTCAGAAATTTGTACTTTCTTTCTTTCTTTCTTTCTTTCTTTCTTTCTTTCTTTCTTTTTGTTTCAATTTTTTTCTTTCTTCTTTCTTCAACTCCACATGTGTTGCTCCTGATCGCTTGATTCTCAGTCAGGAAGAGGAGCCCCCACCGCCAACCCGGCAGATAGACACGCACGCTGAGGATGAAGTGAAATGGATGTTCACAAGGATACCCAAGGAGAGCTACTTCAGCACAGCATTCAGCAGGACGGCTAGCACAGACCATCCCATCAAAACAGTCCTGACAACGGACATGCTGTCCACATGTCAAAAAAAAAGCAGGACGTTCATCACAGTGCGGCATCATGCAGTCCTGATCGCGTCCTTGAGCACAAGACGGACAACGAATATCTGGGTGATAGGGATGTGTACAATGAGGAGATGTTGGACACCCTTCGGCACAGACGGCGGCGGCTGCAATAGATTGATAATGCTGATGGCATAGGTGATGAATTCCGCAGCCAAGACGCACCGCGTCCCTGTCCCGACAGGTGTCACACGAGAGTCGGTCGATCAATAATCCGGAATAACGTATGATTCGGCAATGCACACAGAAATTCATTTATGTTGAAAATAGCCTGAATCATTATCCCACCATCCCACAGTTCCCACTGGGCAGCTGCACAAATGAGTGCCATATAATGCCAGGGTCTGTGCAAAATACAGGCAGAAATATGAGGATGGTCATTAAGGTCATCCATCGCCTGGCGTCGCATGATGCATAAGAACGTGGCGACCGTGGAATGCTACCGGTAGTTGTAAGACATTTACAGTAAAGCCCCTCCTGAGGTAGTATAATTATTAATTAGTACCTTCAGGAGGGAGGTGGACTATTATGGTCATACAACGACTGATTTTCAACAGCGTCAAGCTGATAAGCAATTGTGACAAAATGGGAAGCAGTGTAACATTGACGCTGATAAGCCTGTAGGCAGACATTTGTGGCCGTCAAGCCACAAGTATTTGGTAGATCTGCCCGCAGATCCGGTTCGGTCATCACTGGAAAGCTAGGTCTGATCTGACGGGGTCGGCGCAAGCTGGATGAGCCAATGGGCCGATGGACAGATGGGTCGCAGATACAGTGTACAGTCCGGGCTGGATTTCTAGACGCTATGATCAATCGCATCAGAATGAAAACAGCACTCTGACAGCTCGAGGATAGGGCCAAAAGAATGAAAACAGAAGACAAAGAAAATCATTCTCAGAGTCTCACGCTCGCCATGATCGCAACAAGATAGATACAGCACTCTGACAGCTCGAGGATAACCATCTCTCTCTCTCTCTCTCTCTCTCTCTCTCTCTCTCTCTCTCTCTCTCTCTCTCTCTCTCTCTCTCTCTCTCTCTCTCTCTCGCGTGCGCGCGCGCTCTCTTGTGCTGTGTGCTGCAGGTAGAACGCCAGCTCCAGCCGGTACTGAAGACCCAAGCTACGGTGCTCAGGTGAGTGCCACCACACTGCGCTGCTGCTGAAGACCACCTCCCTCTGCTCCTCTGCTCTCGTGCAGCTTAGAATTAGTGCTAGTGGAGTCGTGAACAGTGTGTACCAGGAACGAGAGCAGTGGAGCAGGTGTTAGAGGAGCATCTTTGTATTAGTGCTCATTCCTGGTACAGTGTGTTCAGGACTCCACTAGCACAAATACCAAGTTGTTCCCCTAACAGCTGCTCGCACAGCATCATGCCGAAGTGTGTCCTGAAACACAGTGTACCAGTAATGAGCGCTGGTCCAGCTATATACCGCTGGGCCTACCGAAAGTCCCCTCGGCCTGCTGCTGCACCCGTCCAATCGAGTGGCTGATCTATGGTCCCAGAGGCAGGCCCAAGGCCTGGCCTGCTGGGGGGACCTTGAAAACAGCCTGCCTGGGTCCCTACCAGATGCCAAGCCTCCCTGATGATGCAGCAGGGATGTCCGCAAACGACAGGGACTGGACCGTCACTCAAAGACAAACCCAGCTCCAGCCCAATGCTGATGAAAATCTACCTGCCCTGAAAATGATGGCCACTGGGCCTGAAATACAGCTCACCGGTCCTGGAAGCGATCCCAACAGGCACCAGTGCCTGTTTGGACAACAAAACAGTCCAAACTACACATCTCAGACCGACCGGACAAAAACTGGAACCGACAAAAATCATCCAAAATGTAATAAGAATCTCAGAAAAATAAATAAACACACACAGAAGTCACTACGACAACCAAACCACCTACCTGGAGCTTCTGCGAGGCTGAAAAGGGTGGCAGTGGCCCTAGGACCGCCCAAAATGGGAGATGTGAGGCCTAGGGCCCATGTTGGTCCAAGGTCGGGCCTCTAGGAGCCGTGTGGGATCCGTGCATGCCACACTAGCCCTGGTCACACCAGAGGAGCAAACCCCTCCCTACTTCAACAGAGAAGCTCCTGCCCTCCTGAGATAAGGTAAGCAAGCCTGCTGTTACTCACATGAATGCACCGGCATGGAGCGATCTGGCAGAGACTTCCCTAGGTCCGGCAAAATACCAAAAAGGCAAACAGAAAAACGTCCCCGGAGACAAGTGTCTTGAGGTATAAGTGGGAGCTGCTGCTCCTTTTCTGGGCAACAAAGATGTACGGAATGCCCTCCCTCAGGGGATTTTAGAGGAAATCTCGCTCCAACTTTATCTACAGACTCCAGAGTCTCGACGGCCTGTCCCTGCACCTGCCTGGTGTTAGCTCAATGATCCACATATGTAACTATGGATACACAGATCAAGAATTTGAATCCCACAGAAAGAACAAGAAGAAGAAGAAGAAGAAGAGCTCTTCCCTCTCCTTTTCGAAGCAAGCGTGACCACCGGTAGACAAATCAAGAGTTTAAATCGCACAGCAAGAAGAAGAAGAAGAAGAAGAAGAAGAAGAGTTGTTCCCTCTCCATCTTGCAGCACTGTGACAATGGACCTTGGCCAAGTAACTGCTCTGCTCTGCTGACTGATGAGATGGCAGGAGTCCAGAGGCCTCCCAAAGGCCCAGAAAGCCAGGCAAATGAGAAACGGCTATAGCACAAGGGCGTGCTCGAAAATTTTAATCCTTCCGGGACCTTCCCCCCTCACATCCTCACAAAGACCACAGATATAGGCACAACCCCCCTCACATATCGTCGGAGAAAATCAGATTGGTTCCTCTCGAGAAGGGGGGAGGCTCCTCACGAGCTGATCTGATTTTCTACGAGGACATGTGAGAGGGGAGCTGATCTGATTTTCTCGTGACGAGCTCCTCGCGAGCTAATCTGATGTTCTTCAAGGATGAACCGCAGCCATGCTAGGTCGTTTAAGTCCATTGGCGCAAATCAAGCCAGAAGGATTTCTACAGGTGATGAACATTGAAGGTGGGAGGACGACGCAGTGGGAGGATGACGCGGAGGAGAATGCAATGACATCACTTCTTCGGTGGAGCCCAAGCAGGCCTCTGCATATTTTTTGTTGCCTCCTGGAGGAAAGTACACACAGCTTGCTTTTTTCTCTCAGAAACTTGGTCATGTTTTTCTCCCTTTTTCACATTTGCAATCAGACTTGTCTTTCTTGACACTCAGCATGCATACAAGCAGATGACGATCAAGCTGGCGACTTGCGCTCACACAAAGCTCAGAGTGAACGTAGCCAAGAACGCAGTTCAGATTCAAACGTGTCTCGTACGGCTATGGCCGTACACCACACTCCCAGCAACTGGTTCGTACACACACCCCGGATCTCCCTGGATGTCCCGCACACACACACACTTCACACGTACACACACACACACACACTAACACTAACACTCTAACCTTGCTGACGTGGCAGCTATGGCCGCCGTCTCTCCCCTCTAATAACTAGCTATCGGCTATGGCCGATCTTCCTCCTCATAGCCCTCTTCGTCTACGGGCACCTGCAGACCTTCGTACACAAGACACTTCGACAGCGCTTCCACACGGCTCACAGGCAGAATGAATGAATGACTTGACGCTGTCTCTTTATTCATACTTCGGGTTGTCAAAGGTCTGCCCTTGGGCCCTGGTCCCGGGGTGCACACAGTCCCACATGGTACTTGCTGACTTGACAAAGTGCGACCGGGACTGGGTACCGCTGACTGCGCAGGGTTAGTCTGCCCACTTGCCCACTTGCCTACAGACTGCATCCCAGACTCACGAAGGGCCAGTTCCGGACCTTCCAGAAGACTGTGGACTTGACCCTTCGGTACTGTACCAGCTACGACTTGACCTTTCAACACTGTAGCAGCTACGACTCCTACCACTGCTAAGACCTCTAATCTACAGACCTACGGTTCAAGACCCGACGACTAACCTACCTACAGCAAACAAACAGGCGACTTTCAAGACTCAGGTCGCGGGTTCAAGGCTTCAAGCACACACGGGTCGACTGGTACTGTACACGGGTAAGGGCAGGGTCAGGGGATCGAGCCCTGGAAACTGCATCTGCTACCGCAAAGGTGAAAACCGTTTCACAGTCAACACTTGGCTCCAAATTACTTGGCCATGTTTTTTCTCCTTTTTTTCACATTCAACACTCAGGTTCGCAAGTTCGTCATCACCTCCATCATAGACCCTTCTGGACAGTTTGTCCTCTTGTAATCATCAATCTGTAGATGGATTGTATACATTCAGGTTTTCCTCGCTTTGGCACAACATTCGCGAAATCGTCACTGAAATGCATTTTCAAAGCTGAAACCATGACAGCGCCCTAGTTTTCTAAAAAGAAAAACTCCTCGAGTCCTCGTGCAATGCGTTCTGCAATCACAAGTTGTCAAAGACTCAAGATCCAAACCTTTCAGCAGATCTTGCTGAACCTATTTTTATTAATTATTATTAGATTTTTTTTAAATTCCTCTGTTGACTCAGGAGCGTTGACTCAGCTCTAGTGGGAGCTGACTCGGCGCCAGAGTCTTCCTCGCCAGTCAATCCAGAGTCTTAAGTTTATGTTTTCCTTGGTATGGACGATCAGGTAGATCAGATAAATGCTGAGTCAGCACTCAATAAAAATGAGCCAATCAGGTATCAGATTACTCTACTGTCTTCACCCGAATAGAAAGCCCGGTCAGTATAGCTGTATTTGGGCAACTTTCAGTCTAAATACAGCGACAATGACCAGGCGTTCTACTCGGGATGAAGCGCGAGCGTCTCTCCCTCCTCCCTACGTAATAGATAGCCTAGCCGTGTGTTTAACAAGTCTTCACAGTGCCGTCTTCACCCTAATAGAAAGCCCGATCACTATAGCTGTATTTGGGCCAACTTACAGTCTAAATACAGCAGCAATTCAGGTACACCAGATCAAAGGTGGTATAACTGGTCCTCTCTCTCTCTCTCTCTCTCTCTCTCT